AGGTACTGATAGCCAGTATACAAAAGTCATGTTTTTTGACCCTTACCAAAAGAGCTGTGAGTTTCTAGAAGAAAAGAACGTGGTCTTATCCTCCAGTTTAATATATCTGGCACACAGGTGTACCACATATGGAATATCATCACCAAATAGATAATAAATATATGAAAATATTCATCTGTCCTTTACTTCCTGTCTCTTTTGCAAGTATGTGTTCATGTAGAGAAAAATTAAAACACAGTGCAAAAAAAGAGTGCAGTCCCTGATGAAAAACAGAGATAAGGACCAGATTAAAAGTCTGAAAGACTTAAAACCAAAATACTGCAATAAGCCAGTTAAGTCTGCACCTTTTTGATACTGCTTGCCAACTCCAGTCCTGATCTACAAATAATCACAGTGCAATTACCCTATCTACCATCTAACCCTCACAGTCTCTGTTGATGATTGTAGATAGCTTAGGTATCATTTTATAAAAACAGAGGAACAAATTGATTCTGTTTTTCTGCATTGCCACCTCCCAAAAGCAGTCCATGTGGCTTTCATTAGTAGAACTGTGTATATAATTTACACATAAAGCTATCATAGACTTATCATCCTAGACAGTATGCCTGGGGATAATGTGGAAATTATGCTCTTTTGTGTGACTGGGAAGGTCTCCAAGATGAGTGCCATTTCTTGGAACAGCAGAATTCTTTTCTCACATGAGCTACATGACAGAGGAGTGTTACACAGCTCACCCATGGCTGTTGGCAGCCAAGTGGCACCCAAACAGAGTTCTGATTCTGCATTATGTAATTGGAAATCCCTGCAGTGCAGTAAGTTTTCAATGTGCACAATGATCTAAATTAATGTCTCACTTCTACTTTGGGAGAATTACACTGCCAATGATTTGATTTTTTTTTCTTTTAGGGGGCGAGATGTAATTTATCATAGAGAAAATTGTAATAGATGTTTCTATGTGTTGGTTTTGTGCAAGGAAGATGTACCATTCCTTTTGTTTTTCTACCTAATCCTGTGGGATGTGTGACTTATATGTTAGGAATGCATGTGTATGTGTGTGTGTAGGCATGCGCACGTGTTCGTTTTCATTCATTTACCGTTTAAGGAGGATGGTGCTTTGGTTATCACACATAAAAGCACGGTTGCTTAGCCGCCAAAATATGGGAGCTATTCTCCCAGAGACAGCAGCTATTTGTTCTGCAGATTCCAAAGTTCCTGGAAGTGTTTTCCTTTCTTTCAGTTTGGATTTAAAATTGTTACTACTTTTTAATCTAATTTCTTATAAATGATTATTACCTATATCATTTTCATAATAAAAGTGTGTTTCAATGGAAATTGTTTCCTTTGTTATTCTCAAAGAAAATGCTGTTTTATAGCAATACCAACAGACTCTCACCTAGGAAGAAACAATACAGATTATTCAGAAATTTTTCTTCATGACTTCAAGTGTGTGTGGAATCCTTTTACTCACTATTAACCCTTCCTTGGATTCTTTAGACTATTTCAGAAGGAAAATGCCTTTACATGAAAAAATGAGCCTGGGCAATGACAGGGAAGAGTGTATGTTTTATGAAAACCAAGCTCTGTCTCCATCTCTTGCAAAATCTCTAGCTAATTCGCCCTAATCTAACTATGCCTCTGCTTTCTCTCTTTTGAAGCCTGGCAACAGCCTCTTAACTGGTTTCTCCACAATTACTCTAATCTCCAGAGTCTTCACAGAACTCACGTAGAATCAGATCACCCGCTTCCTTTCCTCAAAACCAAGGCATGTTCATGCTTAAAATTCTCCAGTGGCTTCCCTTTGTGCTTAGGATCAGATAAACGAACTCTTGAACAGGTTTGGGTGGCTTGGTTTACTCCTCTAGCCTCATCTCATTCACTTCATTCTTCTCCCCTAAGCTCCAGCCTCCCCTTCCTTCTCTGGGGTCTCTTAGAAACCCTCCTATCCACACATGTCCCTGTGCTTGAAGCACAGTTGCTCACACTTTGTACCCTAACCTTTTCTTCAACTCAATTTTCATTTCTCCAGAGTAGCTTTATTCACCAAAATAATTTGTTCTTCTCCTTTAAACCACTTGTAAATCCCAGCAGCTTGGGAGGCTAAGGTAGGAGGTTCAAGAGTTCAAAGCTATCCTCAGCAATGGTGAGGTCCTAAGCAACTCAATGAGACCCTGTCACTAAATAAAATACAAAATAGGGCTGGGGATGTTGTTCAGTGGTTAAGTGCTCCTGAGTTCAATCCCCAATAATCCCCCCCCACACAAAGAACGATATATAGTGCCCTAGCATTTTGGTTTTCTCCTTTAGATCACTTGCTACAGTTGGAATTTTAGATTTGTTTATGTAATGACTCTGATGAAAAGTTATCTTCCATATTGTATGTATGCAGACATTGCACTTAAAATTTTGCTTAACTTTGTATACCACAAGTTAATTTAGTGCCTGGATTGTGATAGGGGTTTTGTATATTCCCTCCTTTTTTTAAAAAAAGATGAATGAAGAAATGAAGTTATATGTCAAAAATCTGGAATAAAACTTTACTAGGCCTCTTATGAATATGAGACGATAAAGCTATTAAAGTATATTACAGATTTTCTGGGTCAGATGATTTGGGTAATCAAATTGACCTTGAAAGCAGAAATCACTTATATTTCATCTGAATAAACTACAGGGCAACATGCCCTAACTCAGAAAAGAAAATGAATCTGGATAGATGGTAATCTTTTGTTCTTTACAAATATGGTGTGGGAATTGGTCAGCATGTCCAAAATGCCCATGTATAGACATATACAGTTATATTGTAACAACAAGCATTTATTGAGTCCTTCCTGTGTGTCAGACATGGCACTAAGCTCTAAACCTGGGATAACTTGTTAGATCATTCACAGCAGTCTTCAGAGATACTATTACTATCCAAATTTCATAGTGAAGAAACTGGAAAAAATTAGGTGACTTACTAGAGGTCACAGAGGTAACTGGTGAGTCTGACATCATGAGATTCTAGAACCAGCTCTTGTAATGTCTTATTAATCCATTTTGTTCCATTGTTCCAGTTGTGGAATACTTAGAAAAATATAGCATATGACATATGATAAAATTACATAGTAACATAAGTGCATTAAAATTACCATTATATTATTATTAGTTAATATTATAATAGGTATAAGCTCTAGGTTATGATTTTCAACCTATTTGTTGCATCTGTGTCAATTTCATTGAAATATTAGCAAAATTGAACACTTGGGACTTAATGTGTTAAAAAGATCATTAACATTTTCTCTAGCAAACAGGGGTGAGTGATGAGCATTTTGTGTCTTGTCTGATAAGTAGGAGGAGGAAATGAACACTTATCTTTGAGATAAGCACAAATAACTTGTTCTCCCTTGAATACAAATATCATCTGCATTCTATTTCCAACAATATAATTAAATAAAAATTCATATAATTACCTATCTAATTTTTTGTATTACCTTTAGAAATAGATATCTGAGATATTTGAATCAGTATACTAGAATCTTAATGACATATTTGGCATTAAAGTTCTGATATTAAAAATAAAATGGGTATTTTATATATCATCATTAGGTGTTTGCTAATATTCTAAGTTTAATTCTTCCAAGTGCCTCATAAAATAGAAGCTATTATATCCGTGTTAAAGTATGAAGGTGAGCACTAGAGTCCTCAGGCACACCCTAGTAACCCACCAGGGCTGGGCCTGCATTTCCTAACTTTAAGTTGTTGTAGGGACAGACAAGGCAAGGCACTGAAGATAGCAGGAAACAGTTTTCTTTTTTGGCCACAGCCAGGTTCAGAGAGCACAGCTTTTTCCATCAATCAATCAATCCCCTAAACCCCGAGTTCACGTAGTTTCAGAATTTTATACCCAGCATGTAAGGGGAAGGGCTCTGAAGTTCACAGTCTGTAGAAGTTCACATAAAAGCAGTTTTTTTTTTTCTTTCACTGTTCTTGGCAAGTTAACCCTTCAAGGGTAACATCTGAGAAGGGGACAGCTTCTTCTCCCCTTTCTTTCCACCCCTGCCAGCTGTTACCATGGAGCCCAATTGGTAACTTCTCTGATCTTAGAAATGTAGACATCTCTGTGAAGCCCAGCTCAAGGCCAGAGGCCTTGTTTGTACATTTCTACAAACTAATTATACTGGATACATGTTTGTGAAAAACTAGTAAGGGGGTGTCCAGCACCTGGAGTGCTGATTTCTTCCTGGCCACTGGCCAAGTAAAACAGGGCAACACAAAAATTGCAAGTTTATCTACATTGAACTCTTTTGTAGAGATTCTTTTGCTGATAGTCCTAAAATCAGCCATGGTGAAGATTTCTGGAGAAGTCCAGTTCAGACTTTTCTGTGGGGAAAGGGGGTGTCATTACAAAGTCCAGTACTTTGTTGGCACAGAGCTTCTCAATCACACTGAAATTAAAAGGCAATCCACTTCTTGCATACACATCTCCATATGCAGGGTCTGCATTCTGCATTGTGTTCTCTTTTGAGTTCTGTGAAATTTTGGTGAAGTTCATTAAACACAGTTTGTCTTATGGAAAAGAAAAAACTAAAAACAAAACAGCTTTGTTTTTTGGATTAAAGTTTATCTGTTAAGATATGCATATACATATGTATATTTACTTTATATGTACTTTGTAATAAGCATTACTAATAACTTTATGAGATTGCAAAAGAAATAGGGTCAGCAACATGTTCTTCAGAGCTCATTAGTAATGATTTGCAGTTAAAAAAATGGTCTCAAACTGAGTTTATTGCTGCTTTTTTCTCATTGTTAGCTGCTGGGAATAACAATAAACACAAAACATTTAAATAGATGATAAGACAATTAAAATAGCATTTTTATGCTAGGTCATAGTATTAAGGCACTAATGATGGAATTTTTAATGTAATGATTGTTGTCTTTAACTTTCTGAAAGTCTCTTTAGAAAGGCTTTCTTTTTAATCTTGCTCTATTTACACCAAACCATTAAAACTTTTTTCAGTGTAACATAAGCATAGGAAATGAGGGACAACAGAGTAGACTGCCTGGCCTCAGACCACCAGCTTTCACACTGAAGGCCTCAGAGCTAGTGTGCTTGAGAATTCCACCAGAACATACCAAAGTGCATGCAAACAAAATCGGAATACTTCCTCAAGGCAAGGGGGTATGTATGCATGTATTTTAAAAAGTTCAATGTAATTTAAATAGTTCAAACTATAGTATGCTTTGTTTTTCCCATCAGGTTTTGGCTCTTTCTCTCCAGTGTGTGATATTGATGCTGTCCCATTGCCTTCTATTGTAACCAAGAAGGTGAGAGAAATATGGTTGGGTAGAGGTAGAAGAAAGAAAAGTTCAGTATTTTTTCCTGTAAACATTTTAAGATATAAGTTGATAAGGTCAGACTGGCTTTGTATCAGTAGTTTCAGCTGAATATCTAAAACCAAATTCACAGGAGGCAGTGTTCATACATTCTGAGTTGAAATTTGAATGTTCTAATCAATGTGTATGTTTCATTTTACAAAACACAGTAGTTCTTTTTTTTTTTTAATAGTTTTGACCTTTACAAAGAAATTTCATTAGAGACAAAACAAACAAGAAAAACCTCAAAACAAAAAAAGCCCAGCATGTTTTTGTTTTACTCCTCTCTCAGAGTAGCTTTCATACTTTATGAAGTAACATGTGTCTCACTTCTGGTGTGAGCTTTGCAGCACACGGTGGAAAGTCTTTGCTATCTGTGGAGGAGAAACAGGTAGTAAAGAAAATGCCTGGCATAAGCAGCAGTGAACCTGAACTCAGAAGACTGTGCAATCCTAGTCCTACTAACTCCTAATCTTGAAATCAGCTCTTCATCAGCTAAGGGACAGCAAAGTACATCTGGTGATCCTCTCTTCCCCTGTTACCCACTGCTCTGGTGGAGCGGCAGTGTCCCATGTGGGGTGGCCCTGTGATGATTTACTCCATTATTGCAGTATCTCTTCACGTTATCCTTTGCACAATGACTGACAAAGTAACCGTTCCTTTACTTTGGATATTTGTTTCCTAATATCAAGGTGAATATTTCCTTAGTCACAAAATGAATGACCCAAGAAGTGTAGATCTGGAAGAAACAGGTAACTGCAGATATGTCTGGTACCTATACTTTGTTGGCTATCTTGGTTTTTAATCCTCAGCTCCTTCCAGTGCTTTAAATGGCAGAGACTTTGAGAATGGATGCCTCACTGACAAGGGCTGGGGTTAAGCTGAAGGATCGCAATTAGTTGTTGGTCATGGCTGGTTTCCTTACCATCTCTCCCTGGCACTGTCAAATATATTTATTATTATGCTGATCACTGGACTTTGGACACCTGAAGAATGCCCTGTGGTGGTCTGATTCTGCTCTGTTACTATCCTTATAACATAAAATGTGGTGTTTTCAACTTCTTTGGATATAGAAGACATAGAAACCAATGTCCTCAAGGGATTGTGGTAGAGGTGGAATAAATCAACAGTGAAAGGCATCTAAGCTTGGTGACTTTCACCTTCGTTTTCTTTTTTCCTTGTGGTGAGGAGATCGAACTCAGGAGTGAGTTTCACTCTTAGCTTTACCATAGCATAAGGTATACTCACTCTATCCATAGTGCCCATTCCGCACAGAGATCAAGACTCCTTTGCTTCTAATTAAGGTTTACATAGTTTTTGAATGGGTGATACATATATCAATGAAAAGTCTTCTCTTCCTTGTACCATATTTAATTCACATGCACCCTTGGCCACAAACAGGTTAGCCCTGTTGTACATGTCTTATGTATTCTTACATAGGTTTATTTTATGTTTTATATCTGTAACCCATTATTTGTCCACGTCATCCTGTGAGATCATCCCTTTCAAGGGTTGGTTCTGAGGTTGAGCACTGTAACTTCTTTTTTCTTTCTCAATGAACTAGAAATAAAGCAGGGTCGATGGTGCTTCAAAAAGCTAAGCAAAACAATGTAAAACTGTACCTGTTAGAATATTTAGATCTTAAGGGTAAATCCCTCATAACATGCTGTGCATCCTGTTAAATGGGTTTTCTGTTTTCTGATGAAAATTATGTGTATACAGATACTTCTCTCCTGGCTCATCATAATGATATGACATTCAAGAAAATCATAATTCTAGTCAAATTTGCCATTGTGATGTATCTAAGAAAAGTCCTGGGCAAAAATCGCTGCTCATCACAGATCGTAAATGCCTGGGCATTGCTCAACTGTCTCTGTTGTCTGCAAGTACATGTTTTTTTGTAGAGAAATAATCAGATTCCTGTTGTATCCAACATGTTTCCAGCAGAGTTTAGCACAATTTCCTGTTACTAATGACAGAAAATAAAGGTTGAAACCAGATTTATAAAATACCAAATTTATAGTCCTAACATTAAAAAGTATATTATAAGTAGAATTATTTCATACTTCTTATTTTTTTTATCCATACTAGTCACAAATACTGTTTCAGATGGTTTTTAGTCATGTAAATGATTTCTCTCTGACTGTGTAATTAGTATGATGGACTGGTTTCTAGAGTATCATATACTTAATGTGAGTTTCTAAAAATGCTTTAATCATATAATTGCTGGTTTATCAAGTAGAAAATATAGGTCTGAGAACACTATCATTATGTCATTATTTTCCACAAAAGACTGTGAAACACACTGAAGAGGCCATTATGAGGCAAATAACAGTTTTTCTATGGTGTCTAACTTTGCAAGGATTAAAAAAGGGAGGGAGGGAGGGAGGCAATAGTAAGGAAAATGCCTAAAGGTAAAGAGTTTAAACTCAATCGGGCAATTTATTTTGTGTCTCTGCAAAATCAGTACAAAGGACGCAGATAGGTGCCTATAGAACAAGTAGACTGTCTAACTCAATGAGTGCCACTGGTATTTAGTAATAATTTCACTAAAGTCTGTGAAAAATCCTAAAAAAATGAAATAATGTTCAGATTTTCTATTGGCATTAGAATCCAGTTGCACTATTTCCTGCTAATTATTATTGAGTGTACTTTGTTCAAGTGTGATTGAAGTAGATAATAACTGACAGTCACTTGGTCTCAAGCCAGCAAAAACAGAGACATATCATCTGGAATGGCTAACTGGTAAATTCAAATATAATTTTACAGAATTCAAATTAAAAAAAAAACGAAAACAAAAACACTTTCTGACTTAGTGAATGGTTATGGGTGAAAAAATCTATTTTTAACCAAGTCTAGAAAAGGTCAAGATAATACTGTTCCCTTTGTCAGTTTAGCCTGAGATAAGGAGAATCCTAAAATGTCTCTCTCATTGTTTCTGTTATGGACGTGCACACACACACACACACACACACACAGGCACACACACACACACCACAAAGAAGGTGAATGATTATTTTATTTGTGCCATTATGCTTTTCTTCTGCTTGATTTGTGTGTTTTGCCTTTTGCTTTCCTTGCAATGTAATATATGCATGGCTTTTGTTTTGTATCTTGAGTATTGAAGGTCTTTACTTTCAGATACTAAAAACTACCATAAGGAAGGTCATCTTAGCTTTAATCCTGTTAAAAAAAATCAGGTACCATTTACTCAGGTGCTTTACAAATAATCAAAATGCTCTTCCCTCTGGTATGTTATTTGTCCCTATGCCTTAATTGTAGGGGGAAAAGATAGTCATAAAAATTTGAGGTGGAGGGAAAGAAGTTGATAAAACCTAGCTCTAAAACTACAGAATTTTGAAATCTCAATGGATTATCATAAACTAGAACTAAGAGTCAATAATGCCAATTCATGGGGTGATATCGATCTTGAATCTGCAGGTGATCAAATAGATGTATATGCATATAATGAAAGAATTTTATGTGAATTATTCAAACATAATAGTATTTACAATTATTCCAGGGCAGTTTTTAAAACTTAAATCGTGCTATAATTTTCACAAACCATTTAATCCATGTAAGTTCATCAACTTTAATCCAGTATTAACTAAAAATAGAAAGCAGATAAGGTTTGAGTAAAATGCAACCAAACCAAACAAAAAAAAAATGAAAATACATAAACCAAAACCAAAACCAAACCAAAGAAACACAAGATAGAATCCAAAAGAGAAGTGAAGGTAAAGGAGAGTTAGGAGACTACAATTGAGGCAAGCAAATCCATGGAGATAGATCAGCAAAGTTGAATCAGACTTTAAATTTGAATGGTTCAGCTGAGCTTACTTTTTATATATTTAATTTGTTTTCATTCCAGGAATATTTATTAAGTGTCTACTATGTACTAGTATATCTGCCAAGGCATGGAATTTAAGGAAATCATAAAGTCCCTGTCCTCCAGAACATTGCTTAATAATGAAGACAGATATGTACACAATTAAAATACAACACGGCAAAAGGAGTGATGGCAGTAGGCACTGGTTATTAGAACATGCAGGAGAATGGAGATGTAGCACTCCCTGTGACACAGTGGGAGAGACCATTTTCAGGGAAGGAATACAGGGAGGAGACACTGAATTGTTTGGGTATGAGGAGTTAGGTATAATGGAAGAAGAGATGAAGATCCAGCCATGAAAGCAATAAACGGCATGTGTGATAATTCTGTATTGTTGGCATAAAATTGTGAGATGGGAAGACAGGATGGATGTAGGCAAGGGCTGTATCATGATGGTTCTGTGAGGAAGGTTGGGCTTTTTTCTGAAGAGGAAAGGAATCATCAGAGAGTTTTTTCTGCTATTTCTACGGAGGATGAAGTTGAGGGAAATGATATTTAAGCAGACAGAACAGTTATGCTTTATGACCTTGTAGAATTTCCTAATAGAAGATCATCAGAAAATTAATACAGAAGCCTAAAAATTACTGTGGTTTTCTTGTGTGTGACAATTCTTTTCTTCTTTGTAGACAAGAGAAGCATGAAAGGGAAAAACATAGTCCACTGTTTTCTGGGAAAGAAGAACAGTGAGACCCTCTTGCCTCCACTTGTCAGCCTGGGGAAGTGGAAGCTGTGTTTCCTGGAGACCTACCTGGGTGAAAAATGCTAAATGGGCATCACAGAAGAGCTGCTTTAGAAGTGAAGTTTTGATTTGAACCACTCATTTAGTGGTTGTTAATTAAATCAATTTGGTAATCTGGGTTTTACTTTTTAAAATGATTCATTCATGATTCCAATATCATAGTAAAGAGGTAGGAAGGAAAATGTTCAGAGTAGTAGAATTAAGGTAGAAGAGTCTAAGATAATAAACAACTTCTGTCACTGATCATAAATGGTTATAAGGGGCTGGAGTTGTAGCTCAGTGGAAAAGCGCTTGCCTAGCATGTGTGAGGCACCGGGTTCAATTCTCAGCACCACATATAATAAATAAAAGTCCATCAACAACTAAAAAATATTTAAAAAAAAATAAAAAAATAAATGGTTATAAACTCTCCTACCATATCTATCTATCTATCTATATCTATTTATCTGTCTATCTATCTATAATGGCATAAGTACAAATGTGAATTTGTTAATGATGAAAATTATAGGGCAAATCTAAATGAGAGAAAAGAAAATCCTCAAAAATTTCAAGTATTTACCCATCAATTTTTTTCTTCTGTGTCCCACACTTGTTTCAGAATACACATTAAGATCCCACTTAGACATACTTTCTGTCTCTGGGGAATGTAATGCATACTGTGATTCTTCGTGGATCAACTGTAAGTCCAAGAGCAATTTTAAGACATCGAAACTGTCTAACTGGAAACTCTGAGCTGCCCTCAGCCAGTAACCCAGGGGGCTGTGCAGCTCATAGCCTCTGCCTACCTTCCCTTGTTACTGCAGTGGAAATTCTATCACTTCTGCGGGGCAGTGACTTTAACGTCTCATGACCTTTACTTGGTCTGCCTGGTGAGAGTTCTTTGAGGAATTATAGTTGTGAACATGTGCTTAATTTATTTTTCACCCTCTTTTACACTTTTTTTCTGCAAGTATTTTATGTTATCTTCACACATATTAGGAAACTAATGTCTGTGTATCTTTCCACACTCGCCCTTGTTTTTCTGGGTTTTTTTTTTTTTTTTGGTATATAATTTTCTCACCCACTGCTAACTTGGCTTCACACTTTTTTTTTTATACTAAAGCTCATTAGTTTTACTTCCTTAGACTGTTTGTATCACTCCTTGCTTAAGTCCAGTGAAACTGCCTGCCTTGTCAAAAGGTGTACAGAAAACAATGACATTTCTGTTTGAAATCATTGCTAGACCTACTATACTTTTAAGAAAAGGTAAAGATAAGAAAAAGGAGATCATTTCTGGCAAGTTTAGATCTCAGCTTTAAAAAAGTCAAACATTAGCTTATGCAATGAAAGTTTCAAACTGCTGAATTTATGATTTTAATCTTTTTCATTCATCATGGAAAGTGGAGGCATATTTATCAAACTTAAGTATATGCATGTTCATGTTGGTTTTTGCATGTCTGATAAAAACCAAATAATCTCTTTTAAGATGATCTAAGTCCTTTAAAATTTTGTTCTTGAATAAGAAACTTAGGTCCTTCAATCTTCTTTATTTCAATAGAAGAATAATGGTATGTACTTTTTATCCAGCAGAAATAAGCCTATCCAGTTAAAATATTAAGTTAAGCTCATATGCTTTGAAAATGAACTAACAGGATCATAAAGAAAACAAATGTTGCTGTTTCTAAACCAAAGTTTATAATGCATAAAATAGGAGTTGTAGGGTTACAAATTAAAGCTTTACCTTTGACACTTTAACACAAACACAAGAACATTTAAGTTGTATCTATTTATACAATTAGGATTGCAATTAAAAATATTTAACTAGTATAGCGCAGGCAGCAACCAATGGTAACAGGTACACATTATTTCCTTGTGTGCTGGTGCACACCATTAGCTCTGCATCAACATGAAATATTAGCAATACATTTGTTTCACCAGCAGGTTACTATATTTCCTTGTTATCAAACCATGGCTTAATATTATTTTCAATAAAATGAGTACTTTCACAAATGAAATCTTATTCAGTTTTCCATGTCATCAACAGAAGATGCTTTAACAAAAATATTTTCACACCTAATTAAATAGTCATAATTCTAGGATAGCATAATCTACAAGGTCATTATTAGACTGACCTGTGTGGAGGAGCAATCCAAATTTGAGGTGTTATATAGATCTGGGGTGAGGATATTTTTAATGTATGATTTATGATTAAAGTACCCTGACTCAAAATACAATTATAATTATGTCTACAAAAATACTTTTAAGCTAGGCATGGTGGTGAAGGCCCATAATCCCATCAATTTGGGAAGTTGAGGCAGGAGGATTTCAAGTTTGAGACCAGTCTCAGCAACTTAATGAGATCTTCTATCAAAATAAAATAAAAAAGAGCTGGAGTATAGTTCAGTGGTAGAGTACTCCTGGTTCAATTCCAGTACCACAAAAAACAAAAAATGAAAACAGAAAAACCACTTTGATTCTCAAAAATCATATTTTCAGATTATTAATAGACATATAAATTGTTTAGAATGCATATATATATACTTCATATATAATGTATTTGATTGAATATTATGTTATGTAATTTTCTAGTAAAAATACATTTATATATGATTTGTAGCCAAATGATATATTATATGTCATATTATACAAACATGGCATGTATAAGATGTATGGTTTTACATAATATAGATACTCCTCTACTTATGATAGGGTTATGTCCAAATAAATCCATTGTACATTGAAGATATCATCAGTTGAAAAATGCATTTGTTTAGTAGACTTAACCTAGCAAGTATGGGAGCTTAGCCACACAATCTACAGTCAATTAGCAGTTACTTCCTTTCTTGATCATGTGGCTGACTGGGAGCTACAGCTCAGGACTGCTGCCCATCATGAGAAAGTATCATCCTGCTTATTGCTAGCCAGGAAAGGATCAAAATCCAAATTCAAAGTATGATTTCTACTGAATGCACATCACTTTTGCATCATTGTAAAATTTTAAAAAAAGACATAAATCAAACCATTGTTAATTGGGGACCAAAGTTTATAATATATAATTTGTATATATAATTTGATTAAAAATTATATACTACTCACTCTATAAACAGAGACAGTAAGGAGGCCATGTAGCATGACTACTGGAACCAACTCTATATGTTTCAGAGCACAGGTCTGCCCCCTGCTAGCTAATACACCTTTGGATGCTTCACTTAGTTTTCTTAAGTCTTATTTTTCTCAACCTTATGGGGTTGGAAGAGAATTAATATATTTTGTATGAAATAAGGGAATACATACAAAATACTTAGTGGGGTGGCTGGCACTTGCTAAGCATCTAATAGGTGGTAGAAAGGCCATGAAAGGGTGGTTAGCAGCAGCAGTAAGCAGCTTTGTAAGTGTCCAGAAATCCCCTGGCTTGTCCCAATTCTAGTGGTCACGTTAAACTTTTTGTAATATGTAATTTGGATTTCAAAAGCAAAGCATGGATTTAAAAATTCTAAAACAAGGAAAAATGATTTGAGGTTTTCAAACAAGCACTGGGTTGGTTAGTTTTTGAATAGTCAGGGTGGTGGGACATAAGAGAATGTAATAATCAATACAAGGAAGAGTTGTGAACACATCAATTTACTATGTGGTTTGTGATTACAGAGTCCTTATAGGATACTTTGTGTGGTGGTAGAATACTTACTTAAAGTTACTCTTCAATTTTAAAGAGTTCACATCAGGGTCAAGATGAACCAACATGAGAGTCACAACCTTAAAACTTGCCAAACATTATTTGGCTGAGACCTTTTCAGCCAACAGAATTCTGCACATGGCTTGCCTCAGTTTTTCTGTCTGTATCCCTAGAAATGCTACTGAATATGTTCTGAAACGTGTATCAGGGGGAAAAGTTCTGCTTACTTTGAATCTAAAAGTTGGTAGTCAGTTAGCATTTGGGATTTCCCCTCCAGATATTTAAGGAAGGAAAATGGGCTTCAGGAATCTTAGCAAATACTTCATCCATAAATAGGCCATTAAGCACTTAGTGTTTCATCTCACTAAGGATAAACTTAATAGTTGTGGAAAGAAAAAAAAACAAATAAAAGGAAAAATTTCTCTCTCAAGTTTATTGAGAGAAGATTTTTATTTGATAAATTTAGGAAAGAGAAAGATTAAGAAATGCATGTATCAGGGTTCACATTTGTTAATATTGTCATCACTAAATTTGTCTAGAGAGACAACATGCCACATTTAAATGATTACTGTGTACACAGATTTCAAATTACTGTATATAAATTTAAACCTCTGTGTTTACACATGTGTGCCAAACAGCTTTTTTTTAACGTTGCCATATATAGCATTCTGATATTTCTTTGCATAAGGCTCTCAAAATACTAAAGCAACCCCAGCCCTAAATTACCCTTCCTTTTAAAGGAGATATCATTAACTTTCTTGGTGATAGGGAGCTAGATCAGGTGAGTGGCAGGCCTTGCATTCATAAAGTCAATGGCATCTTTGTTGCAAAAATATGTAGAAAGTAGAGCTCCAATTCCATTAAGTTCACAAACACCCTGGTATAATGGGTACATCTCATAATACTGAAAGGCAAATGGGAGATGCTTTAGTTGAACAACTATAAATCCGGAGTCTTTGAGGAAGATTAGAAACACATTTTCTGTGTGAATCAAAGAAGGCAGTATAAAAGAGAAAATAATTCTGTCCTTACCTAGCACATGCTGCATGCTATTTGCGAGTATAGATTTACCCTCATCCCTGAAGGATATTTTTACTAGATATAGAATTGCAGGCTGACAGATTCTTTTCTTTCTTCTCTTTAAAGAAATTCTTTCTCTGTATCTGGCCCTTGCTGTTTTTGTTGAGAAATCTATAGTCATTTAAAGGGTTGTTCCTCTGTAAAGCTATAACCTTTTTACCTGACTTTTTACAACACTTTTTTGTTTGTTTTTGTCTATTTATTTTGACAAATCTAGGTTTTTGTGTATATGGGGTTTGGGGAGTTATTTGTTCTATTTGTGTGTTTGGTTTTTTTGAGCTTCTTGTAACTGTAAATTTATCTTTTTGCCAAATTTGATAAAATTTTGGCCACTACTATTTCCATGTTTTGTTGTTGTCGTCATTGTTCTATTTTTACCTTTCTCTGCCTCTCTTCTGTCTCTGGACTTCAGTTATAACCAAGTCGTACCGTTTGAAAATACCCACAAGTCTCTGAGCTTCTTCTCCCCCAAACCCTGCAATCATTTTTCTCTCCATTCTTCAGATTAGATAATTTCTGTTGCTCTATCTTCATGTTTACTAACTCTTCTGCTACTTCAAGTCTGCTTTTAACTTCA